AACAACCGTGTCTTGCTCCATCACGCCAAAGCCGGGACAGTCATTGCCCGTCAAGGGGACCAGGTGGGTCTGGGTTTCGGGGAGCTGGTGTGGCACCTTGCTCGCCCCCGCCCTATATTTCCATGGGGTGCTACTCTTCCTACTCCTGCCCTGGGGGGGAGGGGGGGGGGGGGGGGCAGGAATTGATCCCCAGAGCCATCCGGAGGGTGCAAAAGACCCTTGTGAAGAGGACCAGAAGAAACCCGAAGCGGTGCTGGTGGGATCCCTCGTGCCTGGGGGTCCCAGGTGGCCCCCCAACGGTGATAGGGTGCCATTTCGGCAGGACGTGAGCCTCCACTTCGTGCTGTGGGGCTGCCTGCACGTGTACCAGCGGATGATCGCCAAGGCGGCCTAAAAATGTGTATGTCAATAGCCAGAATATGGGCAAAGCAGAAATTTATCTGTTCACTGGATGACTACTGAAATTATTTGCATGACAAAAATGCATGTGGTTGCTAGAATACCCAAACAGGAGGAAATAAAGTCATTCTTCTTGAAAAAAAGATATATCCTTTTCAAATTGGTTTTTAAATACAAAAGTAAAATGTTGATGTGAATAACACTAAGTCAGCCTGCTCCAGCTGGGAATCTGCCCCATGTAGTCATACTCAGAGGGACGGGTATTAATCTATTATTCAACTGCACAAAGTTCAGTAGAATAACTGTTCTCGCTAATTGCTAATGGGTGAAATTGCTGGTGCTTATAGGGAGATATTCTGGTAACAGATAATTAAGCAACTAAGTAGTTGAAAATGTCAGGAGAGAAAAATGATCTTTTTACCTCACCGGCCGGGCGCTCTACAGGTGGGTGCCAACGGGTGGGTGCCCACCTCAGCTTGGTGAGGACCACCTTGGCAGGGGGTTGAGGTCCCACTGGCGGGTGTCCCCCAGGCAGGGTGACAAGTCGGACTGCACCTACATCGCGCTCAACGGGCGCCTCCGCTCCGTCATCCAGAAGGGCAGCGGCAAGAAGGAGCTCATCGGGGAGTACGGCCGCGGGGACCTCATCGGCGTGGTGAGAGCCATGTCGGGGCCAAGCCATGGCCACCCTATACGTCTTGCCGATACGTCTTGGCTATATGTCTTCTCCTCCAGGTGGAAGCCCTCACCCGGCAGCCCCGTGCCACCACGGTCCACGCGGTCCGGGACACGGAGCTGGCCAAGCTGCCCGAGGGCACCTTGAACAATATCAAGCGCAGATACCCCCAGGTACCCCCAGATCCCCATCCTGGGGCCTGCACCCTCTTCCCATGGAAGGAACGTGTCCCCATGTCCCCCCCTCCCCCAGCTGGTGGCTGCGACGCTCGTTAAAAACAGCTTAAATTAAGGAATTAAAGACGTGATTAGAGCTGTTGGAGGAGGGCTGATGTGCTGAAGGGTTGTCCCTCTCCGAGGTCCCCCAAGGGATGGGCGGTGGCACCCAAAAAGGCGCGGGGGACCCCACGTGTGGGGGGTTAATGAGTCGCCAGCTTGGGAAGCCCTGCCAGGTCTGATGGCCATCCCCGTCCTCGTCCCTGCAGGTTGTCACCCGCCTCATCCACCTCCTGAGCCAAAAGATCTTGGGAAACCTGCAGCAGCTCCGTGGCCCCTTTGCAAGTAGGTCCCGAAGGGATTGGGGACAAGAAGGTGCCCTCTCCATCATCAGAGCAGCACGTGGAAGGTGCCCAACGCCCCGTCGTGGTGTCCCCCTTGCTGCCACCGTGTCTCTGTCCATGCAGGCTCTAGCTTGGGCATGGCCTCCAGCTCGGAGCCCACCAACCCCACCAGCAACCTGTCAACGGTGGCGGTGCTGCCGGTGTGTGACGATGTGCCCACGGCTGCCTTCACGCTGGAGCTCAAGCACGCGCTCAACGCCATCGGTGAGTGCCAGCGCAGCGGTGACCACGGCACGGCGGTGGCCGTGGCGTGGAGGTGACCGTGGTCCTGTGGCACGCCAGTGACCTGGTATGGTGGTGATTGCAGCCCCATGGCACGGTGGTGGCCGTGGAAAGGAGGTGGTCGCAGTCCTATGACGTGGTGGGCACCATGGCACGGTGACCATCACAGCCTCATGGCGTGGTGGTGAGACCACAGTCCCGTGACATGATGACCACAGCCCCATGGCACGGTGGTGACCAGAGCCCCGTGGGACACCAGTGACCATGTCCCCACCTCTCCCAGGTCCCACGCTGCTGCTCACCAGCGACATCATCCGTGCCCGTCTCGGCTCCTCAGCGCTGGACAGGTAACTCCCGTTGGGAGGAACATCACCCGGCGA